ATAAATACACTGTAAAACCTTGGTTATACATGTGCTAGACCGTTTTGAAATGTTTGTTCCTCGAATATTTTATGCGTGCCTTACACAGATTGCATAATGTGAGCACATTTACGACAGTTTGTGACCATCTGTCGGTATGTTTAATCCTTGAAGCTACTGAGCCGATTTCGAATACATTTCTTACTGGGAAGGGGGATTAGCAGTCTAAACTAAAAGTTATCGTGAGGGTTTAATCTTGGTTATGTATAAACACTATTTTACGTGAAGTTAAAACAAAATGTAGCCTATCGGCTTTCTCGAAAGTTGCTCATCTTACAAAACATATTTAGAGCTCAATACGTAATTATTTTAGCATTACTCAAAACATATTAATCACATGTCTATGGTCGATTAGACTGGAAAATGTTACGAAAGAAAATTGTGAATAACGGACAATAAAGCGCTTGTATGAGGGTTAAGATAAGTAGTTACGTATTTGAATAATAAGTTAATTGATTTTATGCCTATAAGACATTAAGATATACTGAAAATACAATGAAAGATAATGCGATTCAATACATGGATATAAAATTAGTTCAGAATTTAAACATTGCATCATAGACTATAGATGAAGTTGTTAATGTAAAGGAGACAAATCTCTTTCAGAGATATGTAAGCTGCAAGATGTAAATCAGTAACATAACTAATTTGATGACTGTCCTGCGAATAAAAGTAATTTTAATTGAGCCAGTAAGATTATCATATAATTAAATGTACATACAGATCAACGAGGTATTTAGACAATGTACCCATGGAAATAAACTTTCCAGTCTATTAATTCCCTTGCGTGTTTAATAGCCTCACGTCAGTAAAGCTGATTGGGGTAATTCGCTTCTGCGGGTTCTTATATTAGCTAAGTGATGACCTTCCTATGAACTGACCTTAATATTGGACAGGAAGTGACGTGACCATCTGCCCGCCTTGCTAGTTGTGTGTTGATGACCAGCTCCGGTCCTACAAAAGCACTGGTTTCATTTCGAGGGAAATGATTCCAGTGTCCATAATTAAAACAAACATTTGGTTAATTATAAAGTTACTTAACAATTCATAGTTGATTCCAATATCCCATGTTGAAAAATGGCTGCGTGACATAATCTGCATAAACTATTCCAGATATAAATACACCTAAACAAATAAAGGATTAATTTAACGTGTAATGTAGGGCGTATAATAGTTTAAACACAAAATGACGGATAATTGTGATGTTTGACTAATATATTTAATTAATTTAAACCATATTTTTTCCGGCCAAGTATAGTTGAACTTTCTGTAGGGCTACAACGACGTCATGATCTCGTCACCATTTCTTTGTTCTTTCGTGAAGTTTGTTCTTGAGCGTTTGCGTGAAGCAAAAAACTGTTTACAGTACATGCCTGAGTACGAATATAATTAATTTAAACCGGGCGTTTCTACAGATAATGATTTTTTTAGCGAAGATCCTATGCGATATTGGTGGAAAACCTTTTAATTCCCATTAGATTTCTTGGAAATATGAGTTTTTCTTGTGAAGACAGTGATTAAGCTTTTTGTTTCATTAGTCTTCCAAGATTTACCATAACACCAAACCCAACTCAATGTTCGTAGACACTATAGGAAGAAAAATAACGCAATTACAGTTAAAACCAAGTTTGGTACAACAAATATATATCAAGCAACACTTATTTTTCTGTCAATGCATTGCTGTGTAGTTAATAGGACATGATGAAAAAGATGTGACGGTTGGGAAAATGACAAAATAACTTTATTTAGATAAACAGCATAATTGCGTCTTACGTGTATTTTATAGACAAAGTAAATGCCAATTTGAACAGCATACAAGGTCAGAAACCACAAACAAAAATTACAACAAAATGGTCTGAGTTTTTCTTTGCAAATAATTATGTAATGGAAGCAGAGCGGGAGAACCAACAGATTTTCTTATGCTGTTAAAATTATAACGAGTTAAGTCACGGAATCTTGACGTATTTTTTATGAAACATATTTCAGACGACGTACGAATACTATTTTTTGTGACGTTGGTGCTAATGTGTGTCGCAAATCTTCATCGCCAAGTTCTGTCTTGGCATATTCTCATATCTACATCAGTCTACCAAACGTCAAGTTCGATTAATTAGATCATAATTCGTATTCGTAAGGTCAGGGAATCTCTGTTCTTTCGTGCTTTCCTCAGCCCACCCAGGCAATTTCTTAGAGAGTCAGAGTCTTAATTTAGGCAATGACTGCTTCATTCCAAACACTTCACAATTCAGTGACCTACCAGGTTCTCACGGCGGTGAGTACAAAGACGGCTGTCTTCTAAGTTGTGGCGCCATGTAGTCTGTAGACCTTGCTGCCTCAACTCATCGCTTTGATAATAGAAGTAACAAGTGCCTCTGAATTTTCGGTAGATTTCTACCAGACTGCACTGTACAACATCCCAGAAGACAGTCAATTAATTTCAATTGACCATTCACAAATAATCCTACAATTCGATGTCACATAACCTATGAAGTTTAAAAAGCGTCTTTAAATAATCCAATAGTCAAACCTTTCTATCTGTCAAAGGGACACGGTGACATTCCAATTGCTCATGCATTTAGATGTATATAAATAATTGTGCAATTTTGCTGGGTGCAAATAATTTGATTTGCACTTGAGGATTGCGAATATTCAGTATGGTGATTATGGCATCGCTTCGATATTTATACCATATAAATCCATTATCTTCATAAAGACAGTAAAAGTGTTTATACTTGTTATTAATAATTAGATTTCTAGTCTGTTACTCGTCCTGTAGAATGTTGGACAGATGGGATATCAATATTCGTGAAGTCCAACGGTGTAATTCCTATCCATAAACCAGAACATATTAGGAACCGCTGTCTGTGATTAAACTGTATCGTTTTTGCAGTGGATAAAGCCAAGAAGCTGAAGAAAGATTACACAGATGTGGTGCAGTCTTGTATGGGCAATTTTGGGCGATGGCAGCTGTGGGTTTGTTGTTGGATATCCATCCTCAAGTTCCCAGTGGCCTGGCACTCTCTGGGCATCGTGTTTTTGGCACCACCGACCGAGTCATGGTGCAAAAGGCCTACGGCCTTACACAACCTGACAGACGAACAGTGGCGCAACATGAGCCAACCCCCTGCAGCGTCTGCGAGTCAGGGACGCGACTCCTGTGCGATGTACGACTACACCGGCAGACCTTATGACGCGTCGCCCGCCAACCTCAGCATTGTCGCATGTGACGACTGGGAATATGACAGGTCCGTCTTCCAGGAAACCATCGTAACTGAGGTCAGAATCTGTTTCTCAACTTCAGGGAATTGTTTTGATGTAAGTTAAAGTACATTTACAGCTTCTAACTCTTGCTGCAGATGTAAAACTGCCAATTGTTTGTTATCAATACGTTAACTAAAGTATGAATAAATTAAGCAGTCACGAGGCGTGATTTTTAATATCTGATGAATGTAACGTTATTGTTTCAAATAAGCAAGCATAGCCGATAAGGAGTTAAATAAACGGATAAAAAAGAAACAAGGGTAATGAAAAAACATTAACAGGAACAAGTGAAAGAAATAGAGAGTGCTAGAAGGTCGAGAAAACAAGAAAAAAGTAAATTGGAACGGATCAAATTGCAGCTTGTAACTGTAAATTTACGTAACGTCTCAAATCTGACCGGAGAACGTAATACCTATAATAGAGCAAACGAGCGAGAGCTATTACTTTATGGTACATTTTCTCACTTGGTCATTGCGTCCAAAACCGCTCTAGTATCAAACAGCCTTTTTCTCTTGGAACATTAAGGCCGAAGCGTCAAAACGACCACTCACTTCCATCCAGGCCGAGGTAAAGTGCGAAGAATGACCTCCATGGTCTGCACGGCGTAGCTCTTACGGACTTTTGCCCTTATTGTTGCAGTGGAACCTTGTTTGCGAGCGGAGACAGCTGGCCAACGTAGCGCAGACTGTGTTCATGTTTGGCGTCCTGGTGGGAAACGTTCTGTTCGGCATGATGGCCGACAGGTAAAACTAATTGTCACTTGTCACATGAAATGTTACACGCACATTCTAAGCAACATCAAGAACACCAAATATCAATACAGGTCTATTATGGGGTTATCAAACTACAGTTCTTGTCAGAGTTCTTTAGTCCTCCGGGGGCAGTAACGGGGTGAGAGAGGTGGAATAAGGAAATGCGACAGAACCAATCAGGAGGCTACTGAGCTTACCTGGTGTACACAACTAATATCCACCCTGAAAACATACGTCTGCAGTGAGAAACTGGCGATTAACTGCCTGTGTTTTGTGACGTGGACAGTATCTGCCCTCAGTGAATTATCTTCCTGTTTGGCAACACTGCCAAATACTAAATGAAATAAAAATATAGACTCTCCAAGCAGAGTAAAGGCTAACTAGGCCAATACTTTCATTCTGAGTAATAGATATATTTGTTTCTGTTTGTCACTACCTACGTCGTAGTTTCCGCATTCCTTCCAGGGCTACAAAGCTTGGCCCCTGACTAAATTTTATGATCTAGTGCACACGGAAATAAGCTGCTAATATCTTAATACTTCTTTACACTCTTACTTTAAGTGATGTCTAGCACCACCCACCACAATAGCTGTTTGTACGCGGTACAATTAATACTCAGGTTATATACGTATAAGGAGAAGGTTTTATTTAAATAGCTGAGAAACTATCAGCTTCAACCTCTACACTAGATAGGGATGAATGATTAGCATCACTCCACGACCGGGCTTTGCCCTGGGAAAGGACTCCGGTACGCACATGGTAGAGATAAAATCTTATGCCCCTGTCGGAGATCGAAAACCGGTCGGCCAGTCTGTAAGTCAGTCATTATGCTGACTGATGTACCCTGGCATTCATTGCTACACATGATATTTAATTTTTCAGATTCGGCCGTAAGCAGCCACTGATGGTAGGCTGTGTGATGCAGGTCGTGTTCGGATCGGCGTGTGCCTACATGCCCTGGTTCGAAGGATTCCTCCTGATGCGGTTTCTAACAGCGACTGCTGTTGGGGGATCCATGATCACAAGTTTCGTCATCTGTAAGTAATACTCGCATACGCCAACACAACCTAACCTAACCTACCTTTACATATTCAAATTCAACCTAACCTAACATAGAGCTACCTAACCCAATCTAACTTCATCCAGGGGGGTTTCGCGCCAACCGGGAGGTTCGGTCCGATAAGGTGCATCACTCTCTTAGAGAGAATATATGAAAATAACAGGATAATTGACGACATCACATAGTAAGTAATTTCATAATTCAAGGCTGACATCATTAATGTATCAAGATTTGCAAACAGAATTCCAAAATTGCACCATTATTTATGCTATAATTTATAGCATTTTATAACAACAGTCACAATGCAGGTAATAAATAACCTTCTTTATTATCGTAATTTTGAAAGCTCCAGTCTATTCGGAACAGATGTATACCGTTTATACAAATGTTCACCGTGTATTGTGATTTAGACACACACACACTCAGGCCGAGGTTATTCATATTTCCTGCCTTAATAATACTATTTATACTAGTTCAGTGAAGTGACAAATAACCTTGAATATGCTTTTCACATTTGTATTTTAGAAACCTGCGGCCACAGAGTTTGTGGCTCCGGACAAAATTTAGCCCGTGTTGGACAATGAACGGTACCCGACTTATAGACCTTTGGCTATTATACAATTTTCCTTTTTTTTACATACATCTTTATATGACTATCATTATAAAAATACACATATTTGTTACTGATCCGGGTTTCCAGACTTTATTCATCGTTTAGTTAAAAAGTAAAACTGTCTCGCTACACGCCATGGAGTTGCTTGGGGGGAAAGTTACAGAGACCCTACTCGTTCCTAACCTTGTCACTAAAAGCGGGTGAGTGGTCAGCTCTTTACCTGGGGGGGGGGGGAGAACCCCAATGCCCACTGGATAAGAGGCTGGGTGGGCCCCACAGGCGGCCTGGATGCAGAGACTGGAAAAGAGATCCTTTGCCCCGGTTGTCTAGTTAGTAGTCAGATGGCATAGTAACTAGTACTCCAAATAAATTCACCACATGTAATGGACAACATGCAAAGTTATTGTGATTCAATGAATAAACCATTGTACCGAACTTCTAGAGAAACTGTAGCCAACAGAATGTGCAAAGTGTCACTGAAGTCGAACATAAGAATAGAATGCGGGACTGAATCAAAGGCCTGCCTTAGATCAGAGTACACAGAGTCAATCTGTCTCTGTGAACAAACAGATGGCTGAACATCATTAAGGTAGGTAACTAAATTAGTTACCGTAGATTTAGATTTACAAAAACCATGGAACAGAGCCTCCCTCATGCACAATAGGTATATTACCAGCAGACGAAGCACTTACTGTAATAGTTTTACCAGGAGTGCGGAAGGAATGCATTTGATCAGGAGTCAATTTACCATAAAAGAGGGCAATAAGGCACCCATTCGGCCACACACCAGTGCTATTGATTAAAGGAAAGTCATCTTCATTAACTAAAACATGAATTGACGCATATGAGTCAAATTTATTTTTAAGTTTGGTGCAGATCAGCCTCTTAAGGCTCAATTGCTCTTTAAGTGCTCTTTCCACCTCAACAGATGTTACCTCTGGACTAAAAGGGGAAACAAAAATAGTCTTAGACTTTTCCCTTTTAGAAACAATTGGAAGTGCGACACAGTTACGCACTCCAATCAAAGATTGACGACGATGCTTGGTGGCCGCTGGTGTTACCTGAGAAGACTTCTTGTGAGAAACTGTAATAAAACCATCAGAGATGAAAGTAGAAATAATATGTGACACATGGGGGAGTATAGAAACAAGATTTTGCGTTACAGAAAATATTATACATATGTAGTAAATGAACATCAAGACCGATGGGGTATTAGAAATAGCAAAGCAGCATTTGGTAGGTTTTCGAATAAGGTTTTACAGTAAATTTTTGCCTCCGATCTATTTTCATCCTAGTCACTGTCACCACCGGTTATATTTGCAGGCTTGGAGATTCTCGGAGGCAGGTGGAGAACGGTGTTTTCCGTGTTATTCCATCTTCCATTCACTCTCGGCCACACTACTCTGGCAGCCATTGGTTACTACGCCAGGGACTGGCATACATTCCAGTTGGCCATAACACTACCTTCGATTCTTTTAATATCTTACTGGTGGTAAGAACAAGCAAACTGTAACGTTTCTACACATTTATATCACACACTAACGTAGCATGACCTGTTAAGGGTGACCGTTATCAACTTTTTTATATTTAGCAGTAATACAGTTTACTGCAGTATCATATTTGTTAATTGCATTGGAAGTACAGTTAAATTAAATGTGAAAACATTTTCAAGGTGATTAAAGCCAGACTCACGCAAAACGTATATATTCAAGCGTGACGGCTACTGGCTATTATATTATCAGTAGACAGAAAGATAAACTTCCTTGAAGGTCTGTAAACTATTGATAATTATATTAGAGTTTTAATCTGTTATTTATACCGTTTTGGTTCTCTGTAAATGTACTAATGGTTTTTAGTGCCTTAAATTAAGCAACGATACCTTCCACATAATTTCCAACACATTAGTCATCCTATCATTCGATGCTATATAAGATGGGATATCAAATATAAATATAGGATATATGATTCAGAATGTGATTATAAAAATAGGCTAAGAGAGCATTTTGTAACAGGCTCATCCCTGAATCTCCACGGTGGCTTCTGACGGCTGGAAGGGACGAAGAAGCTATCAGAATACTGGAGCAGGCAGCGAAGAGAAACAAGTTGGACACTTCTTGTATAGCTCAGAAGATACAGTCTGTCAGCATACACAAGGTAATGTGGATCGGAAAATATTATTCAGATCGTGAGATTCCAGGTTCTCACGGTAACCAGTATGAAAATGGCCGTCTGGGATGTTGCACCATGTAGTATGCTAAATATTGACCGACGTTTCAGAGGTACTCACGGCGAAACATCGCTGAAGACAGATAATTCCTTTGTTAACTTTTATCGCGTATTTAAGCTGTGTATAGTGTCTCCGCAGTCAGCAATGCCCGCATTACGAACTGATTTCAACGAAACTAGTTTGTTGGGCCAACACGAAGTTTAGGCCTGCTTGGTTCACATTAAGAATCATTTTATTTAAAGGTCTCCAGTGAATTAATTATTTTGAGGTTTATTTACGGACTATAATGAAATCTTAAGCCCTATATAAGTATCTATTTTAAGGCCTTATGATTATGATGTTTTCTGGGTTTTGACGACATGCAGAATCATCGGTATATATAAACGTTTCGGAGAAAAATACTGTCTCCATCTTCAGAGCTGAAACATCTACCGACCAGTCTACACGGCTCCCAAACCCAAAAGGACATCATCACCCGGAATAGCGTTATCTCAAGAAGAATAACATTGAATGAACATCACGTACACGTGGATACCTGAAAATAACAGCATTTGGAAAACATGCGGCCTTCTAACATGAGCTTTCATTCCACATTAATCACTGCATTGTACGTGTACATTACAGAACAAGAGCATGGATACGGGGAAGACAAAGCCGGCGAACATCCTGGATTTGTTCAGGACTCCGAACATGCGCCTCAAGACCCTCTGCATGTACTTCAACTGGATCGTCTGCGGCCTCTGCTTTTATGGGCTTGCACAGTACATGGGGCAGATCGGCGGCAACATCTTCATAAACGTTGCCATTTCCGGTCAGTTCTCTTCTTGCCACGAAGAAATGGCGTAAATTTTAATATCGATGCTAGTTTCATAAGTAATTTAATGCTCAATTAATTAGTAGACTTACCGAAATTTTGTTCCGAGTCAAATCACTTGTACTGGCTTCTCTTTGCATTGAATCTTACTTTTCTACAATTCCGTACATTCTTATATGCAGCACTAACAAAAATTTGCAAAGCTTTTTATTTGCCTGTCAGGTTTACTTGGATTGCCTGGGATTGCGCTGAGTATATACCTCATGGCAA